GGGAAAATGCAAAATGAAAGAAAGAGCCGTCTCTTTTGTCTGTATACACAGGAAGAGCATTTTGTCACTTCGGCCATTCGGAGTAGGCGGGTCCTTTCTTACCTACTAGTCATAGTTCCTTGATTCCAAGCAGTTACCAACCATTTACAATACACTGCCGGAAATCCTGTGATGCTACAGAAAAAGATTAGGACAAGATCCATTAATATACATGTAAAAGTGCACTGGGGTAAGAGCAGACAAGAGTTGGCCACACAGTAGATCCTGGTCCCAGCAGTATTAAAAATACTGGGCATGCGTGTTTGTACCCCAAATCCTGATAGGACAGAGAAATACGGGGAGAAGGAATTGCAGTGTGGCCACACCCACCGGGAAGTACTTTCTCCCCCTCTCTCTGGTGATGGGATGTGCCTTCTGGCGATTACACACACACACACACACACACACACACACACGAAACCGGGATAGAAGAGAATATTCTTTTAAAAAATAAGTACATTGATATGTTAGTGTATTGTAAACTAATGCAAATGATTTAAACATTTTCCCATTAAAATTTTTTTTTTTTTTGAGAGAGAGAGAGACTTTTATTATAGGGCATGTGTGCTCGCCAGAGAGACAGAGACAGAAAGTGAGAAATCACCTCCCCTCCCCAGGGTTAATGGCCGTTTCACAGTCCCCTATCCTTCAATCTCCTTTTGGGATTTTGGGCACATACATACATGTGCCTGATGTGTTTCAAGCCCTCGGGTCCAGGACTAAAACTGCAGTCAACTATGGGGAAGTCCAGCGATGTAACCATTATGCCATCTGCTGGTCCCTAAATTTTTTTTAATTGGCACACAATTGTACATGTATGGGGCACAGTATGGTATTTTAACACATGTGTGCAATATATAGTTATCAAATTTGGCTATTAGCTTATCTATTACTTCAGACATTTATAATTTCTTCATGGTAAGAATATGCAAAATTCTCTCTTCTAGCTATTTGGAAATATACAATGCATTCTTTTTCTTTCATTTTGCCACAGGGCACATGTGATTACTGGAGGTGGAGAGAGAGAGACAGTCAGTGAAATTAACCCCGTGGGACCTGGTCACAGCATAATCCCTTCTCTTTTTCTCTCCTGTCAAGGTTTTGGGCACATGTGCATTTGTACCCAGCATGTTTCTAAAGCCTTTGGGTCTGGTACTCAAGATTAGCTATGTGGGGTCTAGCTGTCTTCACCACCACACCACTGGCTAGTCCCAGTGCATTATTATTAACTATAGTTACCCTACTGTGTAGTGAGACACCAACCTTTCTTACCCTCTACTGTCCTTCCCAGCCTATAGTAACTTCTTTTTTTTTTAACAATTATTTAACTTTATTTATTTTAATTTGACCTAAAAGGGACAGAGTTAAAGTGAGAGAGAGAGAGGAAGGGAGAGAAAGAGAGAGAAAGTGAGAAAGCAAGCAAGCAAGCTGCCAGGTCCAGGATTCAAACCGTGGTCAGCCATGTGAGAGTCCAGTGCCCTTAATCACCATGCCACCTGCTGGCCTGCCTGTAGTAATTTCTGTTCTTTGTTTTCTTTTAATTTTTTTTTATTTTTTTATTTTTTTTGCTATAGGGCACGTGCTTTTGCCAGAAAGGCAGAGAGAGAGAGAGAGAGACAGGAAGTGAGAAATCACCCCCTGGGGGGATGGCCACACCGCAATCCCTTCTCCTCCATTCTCCTCTCGGGATCTTGGGTACGCACGCACACGTGCCCGGCATGAGTTTAAGCCACTGGGTCCGGAACTCGAACCGCAGTCAACTACATGGGAGTCCAGCGACATAGCCATTACACTAACTGCTGGTCCCCAATTTCTGTTCTTTGCATCTATGAAATCAACTTTTTGTATTCTCTTAAGTGCAGTATTTGATCGCGAGTATGAGATCATGCAGTATTTGTCTTTCTGTACCTGGCTTATTTCATTTTACACGTCTCCTAGGTTCATCCATATTGTTACAAATGACAGGATTTCATTTTTCATTATGGCTGAATAGTGTTACATTGTGTAAATATTTTTCCCTAACTCTAACCAAAGAGATTTAAGAATATATGAAATACAGGAAATTTACATGAAAAACTCTTTAGTTATAATTAGAGCATGCTTATTTTTAGGGGGAAGATAAGACTTCCTGGCAGGTCATTTCAGGTCCAACTTGAGAACAAAAGCACGGTGAAACATTTGTCTCCATAGAGTTAATAGTCAATGGTGAGAACAAGTTTTATAGAAAAAAGGGAGGGAGAAGAACCTGAAAATTTTGTATCTTCACATAGGAGAAATAGGTAAATAACCAAGGAGAGAAAAATGAAGAGGGTAGGTTAAGTAGGATAACAGGAAGAAGCCAAAGAGAGTAAAGATACATAATGAGGAATGCTTAGAGGAGTCAGAGGACGTGGTCAGAGAAAGGTATTGCTAGTTCTGATATTAAACACCGTTAGAGACCATCGAGGGGAGAGGCGCTAGGAACGCTCCTTTATACACGTTGTCTTCTCTTTTTTCTAGAACAAAAAGCCTCTACTTTTTTTTTTTACTTAGGTTTTTGCCATAGGGCACATGCACTTGCCGGAGAGAGAGGCAGACAGTGAGAGGAAGAGTAAGAAATCACTCCTCAGGGAGGATGGCCATGCCACAATGCCTTCTCCATTCTCCTCATGGGATTTCGGATACAGACACACCATTTTCAAGCTGCTAGGTCTGGGATTTAAGCCGAGGTCAACTATGTGGAGAGTCCAGTGCCTTAACAACTATGCCACTTGCTGGGCCCAAGCCTCTCATTTTGCAGTGTTTTCTGATTCCTTCAGAGCTATTTCCTAGGTGTGAATCACCATTTTTATGATATTCTAGATCAGGTTTGAATGTTTGTTTTAATATCAAATATGAAATTTGGTAATATGTATAGCTTCTTACAATCAACATTCTTTGAAAAGTATTAAAAATAAGAAGGCTGTCCTTAGTTGGGTAGTAGGTACTTTCATATGATTTAATTCTATTTTGTGTAGTACCAAATTTATCCGTTTTGCTATTTCCTTTCCTTAACTTTGGCTTGGATATATAGTTTTCCAAGATAGCTTCTAGACAGGGAGTGCTATTATTTTCTTCTTTTTGTTTTGCAGAAATACCTTTGTCCTGGAATATTGTGGAGAGGTACTTGACCATAAGGAGTTTAAAGCTCGGGTGAAAGAGTATGCCCGGAACAAAAATATCCACTACTATTTCATGGCTCTGAAGAACGATGAGGTGCGCAGCATGGATACGTTGGCCTTGAGCAGATCCGGAAATTGTTGGGTTCCATCTCTAAGATGTATTAAGTGACAAAAATGAAAGGCAGAGCAATATAAGTAGCTTATAATTGTTTATCAAGAAGAACCCGAGGAGATATTTGTGTGTGTATGTAAATATAGGTGTACATGTTTCATATTACAACTCTAAAAATCATTGATTACTCCCAAAGTGCTTTTGTTTCTGTAGATTATGTGGGTTGTATTTATAATATTTATCACATTAAAAATTGAAACAAATTGAAGAATATATATTAATCCTTTTGAAAACAATAATAAACCCATTTCTTGTTGATACAAATAAGACAGTATTATGAAAAATAACTATTCAAAGAATTTCTTAGAAGCGTGACATTGTTTTGCAGTTTATAAATGTCTCTAATGTCTGGCTTAATTGATTTCAGCTAGAGTCTTATATCCACCTGTACATTAAACATGGAAGTGCAGACTCTAGGGACTTACTCCCACACCATCTTAACCTGCCTCTTAGTAGGCCTAGCACGTGACAACAAATGCTTCAGGAGATGGGCTACACATTCGAGTTTAAGAGCTACTGCACTGGGACATGGCATCCATTGTTTAAAAATGTTACTATATATATTTTTTTTTAAAGTTTTGCTCTAGGGCACATGTGCTCTCTAGGGAGAGAGAGGGAAAATGAGAAATCACTCCCCAAGGGAGCTGACCACACTCCAATCCCTTCTCCATTCTCCTCTTGCGATTTTGGGCACGCATGTTTATGTGCCCAGTGTGTTTCTCAAGCTACAGTGGGCCATATGGGATCCAGCCACCTTAACCACTGCACCAGTGATTGGCCTGACTCCCCCTCTCTTTGTCTCTGGTGAGTACACACACCCACTGGCAATTTAAACATTTTTGTTTAGGGATCAGCAGGTTGTATAGTGGTTAAGGTGCTGGACTCCCACATGGCTGACTGCAGTTCGAGTCCTGGACTTGGTGGTTTGAAACTCATGCTGGGTATGTGTGCATGTGAGCCCAACAACCCGAGAGGAGAATAGAGAAGAGTCTGTGGTGTGGCCATCCAGTCTGGGGGATGATTTCTTACTTTCTCTCCGTCTCTCCAGTGAATACATATGCATAATAGCAAAAAAAACTCTCTAAAAATATTTTTTGTTTAAGTAAAATTTCTTTTTTAAAAAAGGTAATAGCTAAAAGCAAATAGGTGAAACATTGATAGATATACAGATAATTTTTTCTATAGGTATTGCATTTATAGTTAGCAAATTTTCTAGAAGAAACAGTTATTTGTCACTTTGTGTAAAGTGGTGTAAGAGTTCTCTAAAGCAAGATGGGGGCAAGGGTGCGTGTGTCTGTCTTCATTTTGCCCCATTGCCTTTACCTTGCAAAATACACACATATTTTAAGGTCTCGTTTGTTTTTAATCCTAAGTTACTCTCTTCCTCCAGATAATAGATGCCACTCAGAAAGGAAATTGCTCTCGTTTCATGAATCACAGCTGTGAACCAAACTGTGAAACCCAGAAAGTGAGTCAGAGGGGATTTAGAATTTGGAATATTTGTTCAGCATTGCTTTTTGGCCTCTAATTGTAGATTCTATGTTGAGGTCCTTATGAATTTTATTTTAAAATTATTTTTTCCATCTATTTTATAATTAATTTTCCTTTCCAAAATGTTTAGATTTGTAGAACCTAATTTATAGAATCTATAACAAACATAGTTGAGTTCTGTACTTGTATACCACCCTTCACTTAACTCCCCCCAGTGCTGCTGTCACTCCTAACCATAATAGTAATACAACACAACAGCCAGATCTAGCCAGTGCTGTTAACTACTCGAAAGACGTCATTCACATTGTGGAAGCTGTCACTTTTCTGGTCCAGGATACAATCCAGGACCTCACATTGTATTTAGTTGTCACTGTTCCTTGCCCGTAATTATTTTCATTATTATTGCAAAAGTGCCAAAATGCAAAATTAAATTTTGATAATGTCCAGTGTGTGCTGTCATATTCAGATTCACAGCCTGGTGCTAAAGTTGACCGTTTTACTAACAGTCACAGAGGACTGAATGAACAAAATGTTGTGAAGGATTATAGCTTTTGTAGGTTATAAAAACTTTGGACCTGATCTCCAGAAAAATGGATTTCTTCTTTGGTTGAAATAGCACTTTGGACTCCCAGGTATTTTTTTTGCCCTTTGATCTGTGCACTGGCAGATCTTACATAAAACTCTTTATGATAGTTAGGCTGTATAACAAAGAGGAGAGCCCAGTCTGAAATAATCACATCCAAGTTCTGGTTCTGGTCCTTCCACAGCGGGTGGCCACATGCCTGGCTCTGAGGCTCTGCTGCCTTCTGTCCCTGAGTCTCCGAGTCTGGGCACACGTACTCATGGTCTGAACTCGCGTGGGGCAGTCCTTGATCCCTCACATGTGCTGCAATTGCAAGGTCTGGCTCTTGTGTCTCTGCCCCATTTTAATTATTGAGTTGTATGCATTTGTTTCTGGTGCTTCTCTTCTCTTCGATTACGCTCATTCCTGTGACCATTGCCTCATGCAATTAAACTGTTAGCATTCGGTGTTCCCTAGGTTTCATGCCTTCTTATCTTAGAACATGGTTACTTTGAACATCAGTTAGAGGTTTGCCTGTGATATTTAGTGATACCAGGCATTTTCTGTCTGCCCATTTTTAGTACAAATTAATCTTTACTGTATAGAGTATGTGTTAAGGTAAATAACTTTCTATTTTTATTAGAGACAAATGATAGATACATTCCTTCTGGTGCTTCATTAAGAGTAGCACTTCAATGTTTTATTTAAAGAAAAATATTCCCTATTTGCCATTTGGTAAAATTTTTAGTGCCTAAAAGAGCCACATGCATAATTAAGGTAGATGGCGATGCTCTTACACACAGGGATTCATCAGTTGCTAATTTATTTTCTTTCTTCTTCTTCTTCTTTCCTTTAAAAAACAAGTGGACGGTGAATGGACAGTTGAGAGTTGGTTTTTTTACCACCAAACTGGTCCCTTCGGGCTCAGAGCTAACATTTGACTACCAGTTCCAGAGATACGGGTAAGCATCGTTTTTATTCTGTTTTGCTACTTCTGATGGAGAAATAGGCTGTTCAGTTATAGGGATACAAAACTTTAATGTGAATTACTTAGAAGTTATTACATTTACTATCAACTCTTACCTGTAATGTACTATTTTGGTTTTGTGTGTATTTCTTAGGGTGTGACATTTTTAGTCATTAAGGAATATCTTACAGGAGTTTTCCACTAAACTTCATGCTATCTTTTTTCTTTTTGAGAGGTTTTTGTTATAGGGTGCATGTGCTCGCCAGAGATAGAGACAGAAAGCAAGAAATCTCCCCCCAGGGGGGATGGCCACACCGCAATCCTTTCTCCTCTATTCTCCCCTCGGGATCTTGGGCACGCATGCACACGTGCCTGGCATGAGTTTAAGCCACCAGGTCCAGGACTTGAACCGTGGCTGACTACATGGGAGTCCAGCAACATAGCCATTATGCTAACTGCTGGTCCTGTCCTGACATACTTTTAAAACCCTCTATTTACATGCCAATTCTGTGCATGTGTGTGTGTGTGTGTGTGTGTGTGTGTGTTTAGTACTTATAAAACAGCACTAGAAAATAGTATAATAAATCCTTCCACTTTACCAGCTGTGTATTCATCACTGATTTAGTTTCATCTATTCAACATGCACGTTTAAAATAATTTTGTTACTTGGATCACTAGCCAGAACAGTAACTGACACAATAGCAAAGAACACTCCTTAACTGTACAGGTGAGAGGGGCGCCTATTAATGTTTAAGCATTAATGAGGAGGGTGAAACATATGTATAATCCAGGAGGTTGTTTTTTTTTTTTTTTTTTTTTTAAAGAGAGAATTTTGCTATAGGGTGCCTGTGCTTGCCAGAGAGAGAGAGACAGAACAGAGGATCAGAAAGCAAGAAATCATCCCCGGGGGGGGATGGCCACATCACTGTCCCTTTTCCTCCATTCTCCTTTTGAAATCTTGGGCACGTGCGCACATGTGCCAGGCGTGAGTTTGAAGCCTCAGGATCTGGGACTTGAACCATGGTCAGCTATGTGGGAGTCCAGTGATGTAACCATTATACCATCTGGTCCCTAATACAAGAGTATTGATGATACTGTTTCATGTGTTAGAACTCAGTGAACTCTCAGATTCTTCCAGCTCTGAAGCTGATGATTGGGTTATAGTCCAGGGCAGATGACAGATGACTATTTTCCGTTCTATCTGCTTCTCTTGTCAGGTACTCAGGAGATCAGTGCAGATCAGGGTCTACGTAGGGCTCAGTAACTTTTCTGTGGACTAGTATTAATCCCTTTGAGGAAAAGGAAATTCGAAATCAGGTGTTGTTTGTGAATCTCTGCTTTGTTTATTGAGAAATATTTTTGTGCCTTTAACTGTTGACCGTCATCTACTGAATATAATAATTTACTTTTGGAGCTCTTTCTTTCTTATTTGTTTTTTGTTTGTTTGTTTGTTTATGGAGATTTTTGCCATAGGGTGTGTTTGCTCACCTGAGAGATAGTGAGAAGTAAGAAATCGTCCCCCAGAGGGATGACCATGCCATAGTCCCTTCTCCATTCTCCTGCTGGGATCTTGGGCATGCATGCACATGTACCCAGCGCAATTTTCAAGCCTCCAGGTCTGGGACTTGAACTGCAGTCGGCCATGTGGGATCCAGCAATGTAACCACTATGCCATCTGCTGGCCCCTCATATTTTTTGTTTGTTTTTGTTTTTTTCCCTCATGTTTTTTTTTCAAGTTCTAATCACAATAAATGGCAGAACCTATATACTTAGGGCTATGCTCTGTCATTCTCTCTTGCCTCTGCAGGTATGATTAAGTATTTATTATTATAGTATCTCATCCTTATGTGCTGATAACTTTTAATCACTTGTTTCCTTTTACATAGTCCATACCAATAAAACATTTTAGATCTGTTCATAATGATGCATTTTGTGAGTTTTCTGTGCCAGTTAAAGTATATGCATAAATTATGATTGAACTATTCAAGCAGCTTTTTTCATATTCCAAATATGTGTGTGATTTTCATAGATAGTCTCATAAAATGGAGAAATTACTCAACGTTTTAACTTTTTAGCTTTTTTTTTTTTTTTTAAAGAGATTGGAAAGAAAAAAGATTGGAAAGAGAAAGATTTTTTTTTTTTTTTTTTTTTTTTTTTTTTAATTTTCGGAGGGTACTTACACGAGCCAGAGAGAGAGAGAGCGAGCAGGCAGGCACCTCCAGCAGGGTGTACTCACACTATAGTCTTTTTCCTGCGTTACTCCGTCCTGTCAGTATATTGGGCATGCACGCACAGCTCCAGTCTGTTTTCAGGCCCTCAGAACTGGGACTCAACCCACAGTTTGCCACGCTGGCTCTTGCTCCCAGTGCACAGCTCTTAGCCACTGCACTATAGGGCTGACCCCAGCTTGATTTTCTTTAAGAATTACTTCATTTTATTTATTATTATGCTTTAAATATTCTGTAGGGCACATGGGCTCATGAGAGAGAGAGAGAGAGAGACAGAGAAAGAGAGAAAGTGAGCAAGCTACCGAGTCTGGAATTCGAACTGTGGTGGGCCATATGGGAGTCCAGCACCTTAGCCACCACACCACCTGTTGGTCCCAAGAATGGATTTTTTTTAAAGAATTATTTTATTTAACTTTATTTATTATTATCATAATTATTATTATTTTACAGTTTGATCAGAGGGAGAGAGAGAGAGAGAGAAAGTGAGAAAGCAAGCCACCAGGTCTGAGACTTGAACCGTGGTCAGCCATGTGGGAGTCCAGCGCCTTTAACCACCATGCCACTTGCCAGCCCCAAGAATGGATATTTTTTAAGAATGATTTTTTTTTCCAGTCATTTCTGTTAGGTGTTTATTGGAGTGTCTCAAAGTTCTGTTTTGTTTGTTGTAATTCCTTTAGGCTGCTATGACTTCTCTCTTGTATTAATTGTTATTGTTGAGGTTTTTATATGATTTACTTACACATAACTGACTTATTTCTTATATTCCTTGAACAGAAAAGAAGCCCAAAAATGTTTCTGTGGGTCAGCCAATTGCCGGGGTTACCTGGGAGGAGAAAACAGAGTCAGTATCCGAGCTGCAGGAGGGAAAATGAAGAAGGAACGGTCTCGTAAGAAGGATTCAGTAAGTGCCCCGTTCTTTCAGCTTTCACAGTGAAAATGTTAAGGAGGAAAGTCGCTTTCCGATTGGACCTCTTCATACTACCCCCAGAGAAATCCAGGGTCAGATGAGGCATTCCTTGAACAGAGCTTAGTTGCTATTTTTATTTCAGATTCATAGAGCTTAGAACTATTAAGGTATTCTTACAAACTGCCTGTGCTTGCAGTTTATCAGAGCCTGTAAAACTGTTGAGTACAAATAAAAGAATTATCTTGTCTTTAGGTGACTTAAGTCTGGTCTGCATCCCTAATCTGTCATTATTGGCTTTTTTTTTTTTTTTTTTTTTTTTTTTTTTTTTATTTTTAAAATTTTTTTTTTTTTTTTTTTTTTAGTTAAACTTTCAAAGTGATTTTCAATTTTTTGAAAATTCTCTTTTGAGTGTGAGGTGAGTTCTGAGAGGTAACAGGCAACCCAAGAGAGAAAGGAGTAGTCTCAGATGGTCTCATTTAATGAAGCAAAGTTGGGGCCCTTTTTTCCTATCCCATCTCACCTGAGTTACTCCTGAGAGGGGTGAGGAGAGGGTGTCCTGTTGCTAAAGAGACTCTTAACTGGGAAAAGGATTTTGTTGTTTTGAAAAAGTTCTGCTTTTTTCTTTTCCTTTTTTTTTTTGAGGGTCCCTTTCTTTGCTAGATGATTTGCTCTCAAAAGTGTGATTTTTGGGTTACCTGCATCAGAACCACCTAGCTGGATCCATAGTGAAAATGCATGTTTTGGGGCCTATATCCACAACTGAGTCTTCGTGGAAGGTCTGTGGAGAGGCGAGAGATTTTTATGGGTTAGTCAGCAAATTCCCCCATAATCATTTTGTAGTTAGGTCATTCCTGGACTTTTCAGGAACTAACACTGTAAAGAAGTATGGATTTCAGCAATTTCACTGTGTAGATGGAGTGATAGTTGATATAATGGGGGAAAGATAAAAGAATAATGGTTAAAAGGTGAGGTCAGAGAGGCCAGGTGGTGGCGTGGTGGTTAAGGGCACTGGATTCCCAAACTGCAATTTGCGTCCCAGACCCGGTGGCTTCCTTTCTCACTTTCTCTCTCTCTCTCCTCTCTCCTCCCCAGTCAAATTAAAATAAATTTAAAATAAAATAATTCTTTAAAAAAAGGTGATGTCAGGAAGCACAAGTTAATTTGAAGGGATTAATTTTAGAGAATCTGAATTTTACGTGAACATATAGAAAAGAAAAAGCATTCTGTCCCTTTTTTTCATTTTTTTATCTTTTTTTTAATTTAAATTTATTTATTTACTTTAATTCAGTGTACATCATTACAGCATACAAAATAAGATTTTCCATCCAGAGTACACTGTATATTGGCTCAATCAAGCACATCAACATACATGTTATCAACAAATAATCTTCCATTTCTTGTTTCCTGTATGTTTTGCTTTTTTTCCCCCATCCTTGATTCCCTATCTCTTACCCTCTGCCATCTCCCACTCTCCTCCCACACTATCTCTGGTATCTATGTTTGCTTTCTCTCTCTTTTTATTTTTAAACAACATAATGAGTCTATATTTAATATAGTACTTCTCACCATGGGAATGTATCCATTTATTAATATAAAAGTTTATTTACATTAAATTTCTTTTCCATTTCATTGTTAAAGTTTATTATTATTATTAAATCTCTTTTCCATTTTCATATTAGATACATTGAATACATTTTTCAAAACTTCTGTCCTCCAGAGATAAAAAGTTTTAACTTTTGGCTAGTTGATACCTAAGTACAACATTAACCTGAGAGGTAACAAAAGAAAAATCCAATAAAAATAGAAGAAAGGCTTCTCATTGGTTCAGGAGGCAGTGATTATAACTGAACAGCCGGCAACTTCCCTGAGTTCTGGACAGGAACTTGCTTATTTCATGTCCTTGAGAATAGTAGAACTATGAAATATTGCTTGGGACCAGCAGTTAGTGTAATGGCTATGTCGCTGGACTCCCATGTAGTCGACCACAGTTTGAGTCCCGGACCTGGTGGCTTAAACTTACACCAGGCACGTGTGTGTGCATGCCCAAGATCCCAAGAGGAGAATGGAGGAGAAGGGATTGTGGCGTGACCATCCCTCCTGGGGGGTGATTTCTCGCTTTCTGTCTCTATGTCTCTGTCTGTCTGGAGAGCCCACGCCCTAAAGCAAAAACCTCTCTCAAAAAAAAAAAAAAAAAAAAAAGATTTGCTTTTCTTACCATTTCATGTAGGTTCACTTAATCCTATCTTTACATCTCCTCCTTTAGTCTCTCTCTCTGTTTTTTTTTCTTTTTTTTTTGGAGAGGTTTTCTTCTTTTTTTTTTTTTAATAATAATTTATTTAATTTGATTTATTCATTCATTTATTTTTTAATTTGGCCAGAGAGAGACACAGAGAAAGAGAGGGAGGGAAAGTGAGAAAGGAAGCCACCAGGTTTGGGACTTGAACTGTGGTCGGCCATGTGGGAGTGTCCAGCGCCTTAACCACCACACCACCTGCTGGTCTCAGGAGAGGTTTTTGCTATAGGGTGCGTGCGCTCACCAGAAAGACACAGAGAGACAGAAAGCGAGAAATCACCACCCGGGGATAGGGATGGCCATGCCGCAATTCCTTCTCCTCCATTTTCCTCTCGGGATCTTGGGCACACACACACTCACACGCCCGGCGTGGGTTTAAGCCACCAGATCGGGAACTCGATCTGCTGTCGGCTACAGGGAAGTTCAGCAAGACAGCCATTACACCAACTGCTGGTCCCCCTTTAGTCTCTCTTATCTTGTCTAATTTCCTTCTATTATCGCCACATGAATTAGTGTTAGATTCCACTTTGATCATGTTGCTCCCCTGTTCAGAATTGTGTAGTAAAACTCTCTTGGTCTCATCAAATTCAGTTTCTTTTATACTGCATTGAGGTCTTCTAATCTGTTGCATAGTCAGAAAAGTCAAGACACATTTTTGCATAAACAAACAAAAAAAAAACAGAAGAAAATGCATCGTGACTTTTCTAACAACCTAATGATACCAGTGTTATACTTGGGATAACTTCTCTGTTTTCCACCACACCTTTTTCACACCAGCCAGACTGAGCTATCGGTGATTTCCTGTCTCCTCAGTACTTGACCTGCCCCCTTCTCTTGTCTTGGCTCTATTTCTCACCTCATTTCTATGACTCTCTTCCTTCTTAGGCCACTTAGGTTTTTTTAGAGTATTACTGACATTAATGCTTCATTGTTGGATTGATGTCCCTTATAGTAAATTCTGTGAGGCAGTTTAAAATCTTACAACTCTAACTGCTACAATAGAGAGCTGGAACAACCTTTGGGGGACTAATTCTTTTTTAATCCTATTTAAGTCGGTATTTAAAACAGTAAAGAGAGGCCAGCAGGTGGTGTGGTGGTTAAGGGTTGACCGTGGTTCGAGTCCCAGACCTGGTGGCTTGTTTTCTCACTCTCTCTCTCTCTGTCCCTCTCTGCTAAATTTAAAATAAATAAAGTTAAATAAAACTGATTCTTAAAAAAATAAATAAAACAGCCAAAGAGTAGGTTATAAAGCACAATCATAAAATCTTTCTGTTTTGTTTTCCCTACCTAGCTCCTAGAAGTTACTGTTGTTGTAAATTTTGTATCTTATTCCATTGTTCTTTTGAGTTATTTATCCAACCCCACACTCACCTTTTTAAAGTTGATTTTTCCATGTATATATCTCTCAAAAATTTGTTTTTGAGATGCATAAAAATGGATTTATACTAGAATGCAAATTTTTGGATGTAATATGAAATAGAATTTTTACCGTATATAATCTTCTGGAATTTTCTTTTTCCCCGTAACATTTAAGCTCACAGATGTTTGGCTGTACTTGATTCCTTTCATTGTGGTATTACATTCCATCAGGTGAACATGGTGGTTTATCCATCTTGTCCACAGATACATTGGGTTGCTGGCAGATGTTGGTTATGCATGTGGCTTCAGTGAGCATTCTTATTGATCTTTGGGTATGCATGCAAGTTTTCATGGGACTGGTTCCTTTTTTTGCCAAAGGGTGTGTACCCTCACTGAAGGGAGTGCCAGCAAGTGAGTGCATTCCCCAGTAGGTGTAGTTGGCTGTGATCCGTTTTCTCCATTTCTCTTTCCTGTCAGGATTTTGGGCATATGTGCACACTCGTATCTGGTGTGTTTTTCTTTTTTTCTTTTCTTTCTTTCTTTTTTTTTTTTTTTTTTTTTTTTTGGAGAGGTTTTTGCTATAGGGTACGTGTGCTCGCCAGACAGACAGAAAGAGACATAGAGACAGAAAGCGAGAAATCCCCCCCCAGGGGGGATGGTCATGCCATAATCCCTTCTCCTCCATTCTCCTCTCGGGATCTTGGGCACGCACGTACACGCGCCCGGCATGAGTTTTAAGCCACCGGGTCCGGGGTGCAAACCGCGGTCGACTATGTGGGAGTCCAGTGACATAGCCATTACGCTAACTGCTGGTTCCCATCTGGTGTGTTTTTTAAGTCACTAAGCCCATGATTTGAACTGCTGTTGGCCACCTGGCTCCCAATGCGAAGTGCTTAACCACTGTAGTATGTGGCTGGCTCATCCCTAGGGTTAATTCTTAGATGTGGGATCGCTAGACATAGGGGATACAAATATTTTAATTTCTTAGAGAATGTGTTATTTTTTTCTAAACTACTTTTTGTCTAGTATAAGTTGTTCTTTGTCTCCTATGAGGACAAATTTTTCTGTTTTGGTTCATTGCAATGTCTCCAGCACTTAAAATTATACCTGACATATTTAACTAGTTCTTACTGTTTATTTGAGGAGTGGATAACATGCATTTCAAATTAATCATATCAGTTTATACTTTTATCAGCAGTAGATTTGATATTATAGGACTACTTAATTTTTCTCTCTCTTTTTTTTTTTTAAGAGGTTTTTGCTATAGGGCGCATGCGCTTGCTAGACAGAGAGAGACAGAAAGCGAAAAATCACCCCCCAGGGGGGATGGCCACGCCACAGTCCCTTCTCCTCCATTCTCCTCTCGGGATCTTGGGCACGCACGCACACGCCCAGTGTGAGTTTTAAGCCACCAGTTCCGGGGTGCGAACCGTGGTTGACTATGTGAGAGACCAGTGACATAGCCATTACACTAACTGCTGGTCCCAACTACTTAGTTTTTCTCTTCATGTATTTGGTTGTCAGGAAAGTCATGACACATTTTTGCATAGAAAAACATAGAAAAATGCCTCATGACTTTCCTGACAACCTAATAGTAATGTGGTTTTAAACTGTTTTTGTTTTTGTGATCTTTGCTGGAGGGTACATGCACTTGCCAGAGAGAGAGAGGGAAAGGGAAAGGAGAAAGCACCCCTTTTGGGAAATGGTCACCACAACCCCATTCTCTTCCATCTCTCCATCCTTTTGGGATTTTTGGGTGCATGCGTGTGCACATACACACACACACACACACTACTTGCCTGGCATATTTTCAAGCCACCAGGTGTGGGACTCCAACCGTGGGGTTCGCCATGTGGGATCTGGCTACCTTAACTACCCGCCGACAGAGCCAGCCCCTCACTGTGGTTTGGGTTTATATTTTCCTAATTATTGTGAGATTGAGCATCTTTTCAGATTGATTCTTAAGTTAGTGAACTGTGTTGTTTTATAACCAGGCATTGTTCCATTTCTGATAGGTGGATGGAGAACTAGAAGCTCTGATGGAGAATGGTGAAGGTCTCTCTGATAAAAATCAGGTGCTCAGCTTATCCCGACTCATGGTTAGAATTGAAACTTTGGAGCAGAAACTTACCTGTCTTGAACTCATACAGGTAAACACTCTAACAATTTATTTTTTGTTTCTGAATTTGAGATGGAATATTTAAACTACAATCCAGATGAAGGGAGAAAGAATAATTCTCATGAGAAGAGTTAATTTTATTTTTGGGCCAGCAGGTGGCGTGGTGGATAAGGGCGCTGAACTCCTACGTGGCTGACCACGGTTCGAGTCTTGGACCTGGTGGCTTGCTTTCTCACTTTTCCTCTCTCAATCTCTCTCCCTCTCTATGTCTTTCCAGTGAAATTAAAAAATAAAATGAATGAATAAATAAAATTTTTTTTTAAAGAGTTAATTTTATTTTTAAATGGATATGTGAGTCCTGTGGCTCAAGACTGCAGTATCATTTAATTTGTCTGTAGACCTGGTTTGCTTTTTCTCTCTAGTCAAAAATCATGGTGGTTTCTTTTTTGGTATAACAATTCCAAAAATTATTATTCATGGTATTTGGTATAGTTCTACCTCCACCTCTAATTATTAGCATGCTAAACCATTTCTACTATAGGACCTTAAAGCAAAGAATTATAATAGTGATTTCATTTTGTTAAGTTTATTAAGTATTATTTTTAAAAATAATTATTTTTAATATATTGATTTGCTCTAGGGCACGTGCGCCCGAGACGGAGAGAGAGAGAAAGCAGGAAAGCAAGAAAGCAAGCCTCCTCCTGGTCTGGGACCCAAACTGTGGTCGGCCATGTGGGAGCCTGCCCAGTGATTTTACCATGCCGTCTGCTGAGCCACTTTATGGAGTATTCCAGAAGATTTTGAGTAATAATAACAAAGTATATTTTAAAAAATCTAACCTGAAAGAAAAAGTTTTTTGTATAAACATCTGAAAGGGGAGAAAAAAATTACTTAAAGACTAATTTTTGTTATGTTTAGCTTTTTCAGTAAGAATGGTAGCTGGAGTTTTTTCCCCTAACTCCTTCAGAATTGAATTTCACTGTAAATTATCTATTAACATTTATATATTTTTTCTAACTTACAATAGTTCAAGTTAACTAGGGGCATTTTATGTATCAGAAAAGATTATAATCCATTACTTTAAAGCATTGGCTAGTGGTACAGTTCTAGTTGGTTAATAAAAATAGAGTTTTTAGGTTTTTTGTGAATATAAGTAAACATTTTGTTCTGTGAGTCTTTTGTAATGCTCTATCTGGTATTGCCTCCCTAATACCCCACATCCTGCCTCCCTTCCACCATGGAAGAATACACACTCACAGTCCTGCCTGAAGTCCTTTCTGGAACGTCATGGACTCTCTTTGTTGTGGATCTGGATGGCAGAGCTAGGCGACGGCCGGGAAAGTAACCAGAAACTTCAGGAAGAGGTCAGTTCATACTCAGCTTACTTGTTTTTTAAAACTATTTATTGATTGCTTAGATTGACAATATCAGTGATTATGAACTTAGCACTATACCATTTCTATTAAATAATTAATCTTGGGACTAACAGGTGGCGTAAGATTATGTCCCTGGATTCCCATATACTTGACTACAGTTCGAGTCCCAGACCCGGTGGCTTAAACTCATGCCAGGTGCATGTGCGTGCGTGCCCAAGATCCTGAGACGAGAGAAGGGGTTGCAGCATGGCCATCCCCCCTAGGGAGTGATTTCTCGCTTTCTTTCTCCTGTCTCTTCTCTCTGTCTTCCTTGCCATCCCACGTACCCTGTAACAACAACAACAACAACAACAAAACTCTCAAAACAAACTCAGGCGAGGTGCATGTGCGTGTGTGCCCAAAATTCCTGAGAAGGGAATGGAGGAGAAGGGATTTTGGTGTGACCATCCTCCCTGGAGGGTGATTTCTCACTTTCTGTCTCTCTGTCTCTCCAGTGAGTGTACATGCCCTATAGCAAAAAAAATCTCTCTTTAAATAAACGAATCTTACCATTCCAATGTCATTTCCAAAACTATATTCTTAACCATACACCTTTCCAGTAGTGCGTGTTCCCCTATGAATTTCCTTATGATATCTTCCTCCTTTTTTTTTTTTTTT